CTTCCCGGCCGCATAAGGGGGGGGGGGAACAACAATTGGCCAACGTAAAACTCAGAAGCATTTGGACCGGAGGAATTCTCCCCTATGAAATGCGCCCTCTGTTCTTAAGTGTTTTGTTTTCTCATCCCGTGAGGAACACCGAGAAAAATGAGCTTGTTTTTTTACTTGTAAGGCTTTACTCAGTTGCCCAGTTCTGCCGAAGATCTGGATTATGGGGACATCTCAGGTAAGGGCTTAGCTTTTAGGTTCAGCTGTTGTGGTGGTTTGGTCTGTGGGACTCCTCTTTGAAATGCGCCCTCTGTTCTTAAGTGTTTTGTTTTCTCATCCCGTGAGGAACACCGAGAAAAATGAGCTTGTTTTTTTACTTGTAAGGCTTTACTCAGTTGCCCAGTTCTGCCGAAGATCTGGATTATGGGGACATCTCAGGTAAGGGCTTAGCTTTTAGGTTCAGCTGTTGTGGTGGTTTGGTCTGTGGGACTCCTCTTCCCCCCCCGAACCCCTTTGTTTGCATTCTAGCTGCTCCCCACCTGCCCCCATCGTGCAACATCTCAGCCCCCCCTACCCACCCATGGCTGGGCTCCCCTTCTTCCTGGCCGCATAAGGGGGGGGGACAACAATTGGCCAACGTAAAACTCAAAAGCATTTGGACCAGAGGAGCGAGGAAGAGAGGCGAGCGCTGTGAGTTTCATTACAGGTCGTCTGGTGGGCTCAGTGGCTGGAAATAATTTTCCGAGTCCTTGTTGGAGGAGGGCTTGGTGGAAATTTCTGTCACCCTTATGCCCACCTTCGTATTGGGGAAGTGGGTGGCTGTCGTAGGGTTGAACACTGTCTCCAGCTGGCCCAGTATGCCATGTGGGGCTGGTGAAGTGGCAGTAAAACTGTCGTGGCGGGACTCTCCCATGGAGGAGGGCAGTTGCATTATGGTACCCCAGTCTCAACCAACCAAGCGTCTATATTTCTGCACTGCAGATTGAACACGTGCTGAGCGTCTATAGGTCTTCCCATTGACGTATCCATTTGATATGTAGCATACTGTCCTTTTCTTTTTACCCAACTCACACCACCGTACACGGGGAAGCCCTGCTTTGCCTTCACAACAGTCTAGGGAGGTTAGCTCTTACTACCCTATATATGACTGTCAGAATGAAAACCTGCTCTCGGCCATCCTACAACAGCGGAGGCTTATTTCCTAGCAGGTTTTCGCAATGCCAGATTAAAGGACAATCCTTTTCTCCCCGTAGCTTAAAATGTACATCCCAGGCATTGTCGAGTTTGATTGTTTCCTTCTTTCTTTTGTAATTATGCCATATTCTGTGAAAAGTGAGCAAGCTGGTTCTTATCCTGCCTGCATACTGAGCAAACGGTCTTTCCATTTCCACTCAAGAGAAATGGTGGAAAGCATTCTGATTTCTTGAAGGACGGTTTGTACAGTTGCAGAATGGGGCGGGCGGGCATGCCTGTTGTTGCTTTGATGATAGTCAGTTCGACCAGTAAATGGGAGCAGCGTAAAACCACCCCTGTCTGAGCTGTACAAAATTCCATCTCAGTTCAGAGACATAAAATGTGAGAAGGAACTTGTGCCCCTTCTGAGACACCAGGCTGCAAATCCAGGTTTTCTTGGCATGATGATGGGCTCACCAGTTACTTTCATGGCCCGCCAAAGCACTTGAGGGGACTTGTAATTTGATTTCTCCCTTTCCTCACCCCCTTGTCCCTTATTCCCCCAAGCAATTGGATGCTCTAGGTCCTTGCTGATTAAAGTTTCTTGCCTCTACATTCCTCTTAACCTCTTTTCTGCATTGCTGAGCCCCCCCCCCCCGCAGGTGGTTGGTAAGCCTACACAGAAGAGATGGGCCAGGGGACTCACTCTTGGCCATTGATTCAGTACAGATGAAGAGAAGGAGAGAAGGGTGGGCAACCCACTGCCAGTCTCTCCTTCCCGGCTTAGCTGTCTCTCTGAGAACATGAGAAATCCCATCCTTGCTGTGTGATAGGAACCATCATCTCCCTGCTCTTTCCTCAACACGCTTCAGCTGGGTGACTCCCATTTTTTAAGATTTTGCTCCAGATGTTGTACGGCAGCCGTGCAAGCCAAAGGGGCCGGTGTCGCCTCGCCGTGTAGTTTGATTAACTAATCAAAAACTGATTAGCACCTTTGTTCATGGGGGATGCTGATTAATCAATTACTATTGATCACGAGTGTAGCTTTGTTCTCTGGCAAAGAGACGTCTGGAGAAGCAGCCAATAAAAATTGAGCACCTGTCAGGGCGATTAAATTTATTAAAACAAAATACATTATTTTTTTATGAAGCTATCTTGCGATGGGTCACTGAAGGGGAACATATTGATTGACGAAGGATAAACTTCTGGAATTTGGCTTGCTTAAATTAGAGACCAAATTCAATTTTAATACAAGACAAATATCCCTTCAATAAATTACCAAAGGTGCAATGATCTTAATGCTAAACTGGGGGTAATGAATAATATTATATGTTCTCGTCTCAATTTCAACCTTTCTGGGTTACTCCAGATATTAGCACAACCTACGTATGTTTCCAAGGGAATGATGGCAGCTTTAAAACCCTGGGGCCACTTTGAGTGGCAAGGGATCAAGTTTGCATAGCCGTTTCCTGAGTGCCCTCTGAATTTGGCACGGAGCCTGCTCTTCTGCAAAGCCTTCTCCGTGATCCATGAGAATGGGCCAGAGTCTCCCCAGCTCTTGGTGCTGAGCAAACAGCGTGGCTAGGGAAGGTCCGGATCAATTCCTGGCTCAGATTTAAGGAAGTGGGGCTTTCGCGGTGCTTCTCAACTCCTTTTTTGGAGGGACTTGTGTGGGACTTCCTCACGAGCCCCACAAAACTGGATCCTCTATTGGGAACTCCCTCAAGGTGGGCCACCCAAAGCCCAGGAAGACTTGGTATGCATGAAGCCCCCTGCTTTCAGTTTTCTGACCTCTGTGATTTACAATTCTCTGCAAGACCTGGTGCCTTTTTTTTTCTCCCCCTTGGCCCCACTGCATTCCGACCTTCACCTTCACTGTGTTCATGCAAAAAGCCAACTGTGTTATCTCCTTCCCAGTTCACCAGGGACAGCTTCTCTGGGGGCTGCCCCAGCCCTACCTCCATGTCAAGCAAAGTGGATGCACTGAAAAAGATGGCGTTAAAGTCATTTTTTCAGTGGACAGACATCCAGGGAGGATGTGCTCAGGAGCCTAAAAGGGGGTGGGTGTCCAAACCTTGAGCTTTCCTAAGGAGCACAAGGAGCTGCCAGGCAAAATGAGTGCTGGGAGTCTTGACTAATCCAAGGTGACTCATCACGTTGCTTGTTTCTCAAAGGGGGTGGGTGTCCAAACCTTGAGCTTTACTAAGGAGCACAAGGAGCTGCCAAGCAAGATGAGTGCTGGGAGTCTTGACTTATCCAAGGTGACTCCATCACATTGCTTGTTTCTCGCATGATCAGGAACCTTCTCATTACATGCCATGGGTTTCCAAAAGGGGTTTGTCTTGCTCTTACATGGTTCAGTTTCATTTTCGTTACGTAAAGCGAGTGAAGAATATGTGCTCCTTTTCCATCTTTAATTTAGGGATGGACACGAGCTGCTGGTTTGGTGGTTTGTGCCAGTTTGTTTATTGGCCGAACCGGTGTTCAGGGCTCCCCGGTCTCTCCTCCTCTGGCAGCCGCCCACGCAGAGGCAGTGCCCAGAGGAGGCAGGGCAGGGAAGCCAACGCACTACTTCCGAGTGGGCGCCCACTGGAGGAGGAGGTGGGGGGGCTTTGACGTGCCAAACACTATTTGGGCAATAAACGAACCTGCACGGACCACGAACTCTTTCCCCAGCTTTGGCAAAATCCAGGGAGCACCAAAGGCAGGGTTTAGGGGGCTTCAGTCATCCAGTTAGCAAAGCAATGTGAGACTCTGGGCTTAAGTGGAGGCGTGTGGGGCTGCTGGACTATTTGCAGTAGACAGGATCCCACCGTGGTCTGAGTGACCCGGGACCTTTATTCTTAAGTTTAAAAGAGGAGAGAAAACCTCCCCGGCCACCTTCTATAAGATAAGCAGGGATGGCCGGGATGCTTTTTGCAAGAGATGGACAAGGATTCGGAGTTTCACTGTTAAAAAGTAGTGTGACCCCGCTCCTCATTCCTTGGGAACATGGAGAGTCTTAAGATTACTTTTCAATGCTTGGCCTCCAGCCCCTGAGGTCCTCCGTTTTTCATCCAGGGCGTGTGTCCTTCCAGTTTTGCAGCTATAGCTTCACCTGTTGCTTGTGTCCAGAAGTGAGGGCCCCTGACCCAGCATTTGAGGGTCCACTCCTGGCCTTTTTGGCCATTTTAGAAGAACAGACTTCATTTCTTAGGCCTCCTCCAGAGGTATCTTTGTCTCTGTGGTCAGGTGGGTGGGTATGCTTAAAGGTGGGTGGCTGCATGTGTGTGCGGGCACACACACACCCACACACCATAGTAAAAGCATCCTTGTTTTAAAAATGCTTCTCCCTTTAGAAATCAAGGAGCCGTGAAAATCTCTGAAGGCGGGAGCATTAAATCTAAAGGCGACAAATTAACGGCTGTGCTGAGCCTGCAGAGAAAAGATTGGCCAGGTTTCATGGTGCAATGCTGAGCCTGCAGAGAAAAGATTGGCCAGAACTTTGCTTTCATGGTGCAGAGGTGCTGCAGGGAAACTCCAGGCCTGTCAGTGTAACACACACACCCTAATTTTCCCTAAATAGAGGGACGTAATGCTAGGACTATGTGACGTGACGTAAGGGGGGAGGGAGAGAGAAAAGACAGAAAGTTTAACAAGGAGGAATGCAAGACTCCACGGAGCAAACGTTAAATCATT